TAAAATTAAAAAAAGGTTTCTGAACAGTATTAAAAAAAGGGTATGCCGCATATTTTATCCTAATAATGGCATATTTGCCTAAGATTATGTGATTTCAAAATGTTTAAAAAGGATTGTTGGACTTGTTCATTGATGAGGGTAGTTGCTTGTCCGCTAATGGCATGGCTTTGCATGCGAGACAAATCTATGACACACTGATTAGCAAATGTAATTGTCATATAGCCTCACAAGCATGGCATGGAAATATATATATAATAGTAGCTGGGCAAGTGGTTCCCTCATAAGATATGTCTTTTCCAGTTTCCCTCAATGTCTACGTAGATATTTTCTTCTTCTTTTTTCGACAAGGATATCAAAAATATCACGTGGTTTAAAAAGTTGCATGAAGCATTTCTATATAAATCATAAACCAAACGGAAACGAAACAAACTCGACTTGTTTAAAATGGATATAAATCTTTATATGTGGCCTCGAGGAGATAGAAAGCCACTTGTTCATGTACCACCTAACATTAGAAAAGAGAGGCAATTGGGAGAAAGAAGAAAACATTGCTGATTGAGACAACCTTCTTTTGTTTGCAATAGAGTGATAAGTAAACTTTCGTTTTGACTTATTGATGAATAAGAAGAAGAAGAAGAAGGAGGTGGTTATTAATGAAGAGTCTGTATGTGTGTGTCTAATAATTTGAAGGGTCCCATAAGGAAACCTGCATTATTGGAGGTCCCATGGATTTTACAATATTTTTGGTGAAGTGTTGTTGAGGCAAATATTTGGGTGCATCCGTCGAAGCCTATAGGGAACAAAAGCTGAATTCGTCCATTATTAGGAACCAACTTACACATGTGCATACATTTCTCTGAAAAAGAGAAGAAGAAGAAGTTGATGCCAACTCCATTAAAAAAAAGGTTCATTTGGTGATGACGCTCATATGAAGCTAATCAGGGCTCCGTTGGCAACTTGGCATGTTCATGAATTCAGACACTTTTACTTTAGACTTTAGAGAGTTGCTTGTTTGATTTGGGGACTTTTTAATTGGTTATAATGCACAATTGAATATTAGAGATGCGGCTTCTCGTAGCAGTTGGCGTTGGTTTTGTATTTTACATGAAATCCATAGTTGCACACATCAGAATTAGTTTGCATACCCAGTGTGTGACTGAGTCTGTGTCTGTATGGTTGGGGTTTCGAACACGAGACAGCTCTTACTAGTAAGCTATGAAACCATTAAAACTAAATAAAAGTATTAGACAACTATTTTAGAGTGTTAATAATTTTTATTTTTTTTAAAGAAAGTCTTGAGACGTGTTGCAAATCATACCTATGAAAGTATTTAAAATGAGCATTAATTTGGTCAAAATTTAGAAAAGTAATGAGATTTGGCCGTTTGAGTGGTTTTTTTTGTTTTTGTTTTTGTTTCGGGGGGTAAGTGGCCGTTTGAGTAGTTGAGGAGTCTTTTCCTCATGCTCACTACTCCTTCATAGATTCCAAGAGTCAATGCTAAGTTTTGATGAATCCAACATTCGAAAGAAAAATTGCAACTTCTTGCTCACAGAGCTTGTGGTTGAGTGAGGTTTTAATCTTCTCATATTAAATACCTACTTCAACAAAAACAAGAAAAACTTAAACACGTAATTTTGTTCAGGGTTTGGAAAACATGCTTTATATTTATTAATATCATAATTCAAATTGGAGTCCGTATGGTAACATTTTTTGACACTAGTTTTATTATTTTTGGCCATAATATAATGCTTACCCCAATAAGGCCCTGTTTGGTTCACATAATAGATTTAAGGGTAAATCATTTCCCATGTCATTTTCTAAGGAATGGAAATGAAAGATTCATTTCCCATGTTTGGTAATGTCGGGAAAGTAACCGGGAGATTTCACTTTGTTTCATTTCTCATGTTTTTTTTTGAGTATGAATGAAAAACAAAGTTTGTATAATTTTCCAATTATACTCATATTAAATCAAATAAAAAAAGAATGCATTTAATGATACATTGTAATTATAAATTGTTCATAGGAACAAAATAGTCATGAAAATGGTGCATTGAATGTTGGCTCATGTTCCCAAACTTTCCCATGATGAGAGAAAACAAAACCCAAGTTAAGATGATGACTTTACTTTCCCCCTACTTTCCCTTGTGCCTGACAACTATTTCCCATGCCTGGACTTACCAAACATGGGAAAGCAATTGAATTCTCATTCCCAAGCCTCATTTCCTATGAACCAAACAGGGCTTAAGTGTTTTGCCTAGTGGCTTGAATTATTTAACCAAAAAGAAAACAATGGGCATAAACAATAAATTATATATAATTTTTTTTTAAAAACCCAAAATTGAAAGAAGAAAAAAATGTGGAGACAATTAAGGTGGTTCCAGGCCCGCACTCTATTTTTATCTCTTCTATTCGTATATTATATATAATATATAATATTACAGTATATTAGGTTAGTTTTAGGATATTTACCCTTAAAATAAAATAATATATTAGATTCTTCTGGTCTACAAATTAACCATCAATTTTCTTGATATTTCTTCTACTCATCTTCCTTAAATCTTCTAGGTTAGTTTATGAAATTTGCACTAAAAATTCCTAAAGTTTTAACCTTTCTTTCTCTTCCTACTTTGTTTAAGCTTTGTGAATTTTTTATTTGCCTCATATTTTTTTTATGTATAAGTTGGGTACCTTAATATTGCAGTTTATGAACTCTTTATTTTTCTATTTATTTTCTCTGTTGGAATATAAATTATTAATTTTGAAGTTTTCGATAGTGTAGATGATGAAATTATTATTTAACTAATTTGAAATATGAAATTCATGATAATTATGAAAAGAATACAAGTTTTATAAAGATCCATTCTAATGTGAAATTCTGACCCTGCCACTAATCATTGTTATTGGTACATGAACATCCAATAGCTTTATTTTTATTTTTATTTTTCGGTTGTTGGTCAGATAGCATCCAATAGCTGAAATGAAACTTCAATGGGAAAAGGACCATTTACTTGCTGCCTGCAGGGCCCAGTATTAATTCTGTAGTCATGGCCTGCGTTTTCCTCATGGTCAAATAGTTGGTTGTATTGTATATATATAATTGTAATTTGCATTCTAATTAAATGCTTTTTCGAGATTTGCACAGTCGAAAGTGAAGATTGTCCATTAAGAAATGAAAATACACACACACACACTCTCTCTCTCTCTCTCTCTCTCTCCCCCTATGTGATGCCGAATCCGAGACAAGCACACTAGTAACCTCAGATAAAATAGCTTTGGGTGCAAGCAAGTTTCAAAAGAAGCTTCTTTAATTAATGATTAACATGCTTGATATATAATTAATCTATGTACTTTTAAACTTGCTTCAGTCTATTAAGAAAGAAAGAAAAAAAAACTAGCTTCAGTCAAGATCAACTCGTCCACCGAAAAAAGTTGTGAATTCTTTGATTGAGACTAAGCCAAGTGATGCATAAATAATTTGCGACAGCAGCAATAATGAATCCAGCTAGAGCTAGCTAGGGTGGTTTTTGGGGTGGTGTGGCTCATCTCATGGCTCTCCAATGGGTAGATACTAGATGGTGGTAGGTTTGGGAACTGTGCTAGTTGACGGACCATGCACACTGAGTGGGTAGGTAGAAGAAAACTATTTCATTAGGAGGATCTGATGGATTAATGTTCCTTCCTCCTAATCATAATTAATATATAAAATTATAATAAGGTCACCACCATGAATCATGAGGAGGTGACTAACTATTCCCACCAACCCAATTACCCATAATTAATTTAGTAAATTCCCATTTAGCTTATTTAACTTGAAGTTTCCCTCTTGCTTTTCGCTTTTCATGGGTCAAAAGCAACTTTTTTCTTAAAAATAAGTGAAATTAATCCTCCCTTTAATGAGCAGAAGAAGGAAGTCGGCAAAAGGAGGTTATTTGGAGTTTTGGGATGATATGTTGAAATCAGATCCTTGTTCTTCACATTTTCATATACCATTAAACATGTACCAACCATCCTGAGCAGTTCAGATTCTCCTGTTTTCTTCTGGGTTTGGAATTAAAAGGAGGCTGGCTGCTTTGGTGGTTGGTAAAAGTAGGGTAACTTTGGACCAACAGAAAACCATTATTGCACAAGGCTTCTTCTAGGCTCACTTCGAAGTTTCTGATAGTCCCCAAAATCATACATAATGAAGAATTTGTTGCTCATCAGAAACAGGGTAAAAGTTCAAAGTCTTCATTGAGCTCATGTTGCAAGCAAAGCTTAGCCATCCCCTGGTCCACATCTGATGCCAAGATGGGGCTGTTTTTTTTTCTTTTTTTTTTCTATTTTTGTTGCACATTCCAAGACACCGAGAAAAAGAAAATCACATTAATACAGTTTGGTAGATGATGGTAATTCAATTCAAGAAGGCTCCATCGATTGGGGAAATATCAGTTTGGTAGTTAAAACACATTCTTTTATGTGGTAGGTAGCAGTTCTTAAGGTCGTTGGGTATGTATTTCACATGGTGCTCAGCTCACATCTGCCATTTATACATTTCAAGCCTTAAATTCTTTGGTTCTAGGAGTGACGGCGCATACCAACTTTGTACATTTTTTCAGAATGCTATGGCTTGGCATTGGCAAGCAAGCAAGTGAAGTGAGATATTCTTTTGTACGATCTAACAATTAATTGGGCTTCATTAGATTGTCCATTTTATATCTGTTGTCTGCGATGGAACTTATATTTGGGTCGGTCTCTATGAGGCCCCTGTTCTATAAATTTAAAAAATTTGTACAACAAAGAGGCAAGCAAAATCAAGGAGAAAAGAAGTTGAAATTGGAATATGAAACCAAGGAATATACAATTACTTGTTCTCATAAGGTTTAAAACAATTACAAGCCCAATAAACCCAACTCCCGTAACTGTTATGCCAACAGAAAACTGAACAAATAATGGAAAAGAGATCAAACCCGGATCACAAAATTTCAAGACTCTTAACCCTGAACTGTTTATAATTGCATCATCTAAAGCTCAGTGTCGAATAAACGAATCATCAAATTCGAAACAATTCTTCGAGCAAAAGGAATGTAGCTCAAACTGTACCTGAAACAGTTCAGATCATATAAGTTGCCCATATAATGTTTAGCTTCCATGCCATGAAACAGTTCGAGCAAAAAGGAATGTAGCTCAGATGAACTTTTAGCTTCCATACCATGAAGTACAAATAATATTTTTTCTTAGAATAGTTTGACACTCGACTCGGATGGGGCACAGGGTGCATGCCCTTCTGCATTTTCTCTGAAGTGGCAAATTTAGTGAGATAGGTGAACATGAAAAGGAAACTTACCAAATAAGGGCGCAGACCTCACATATGATTGCAATTATTGTTAAAATCTTGCTATGGATCTGCACGATGAAAAAGGAAATGTCAAGGTTTCAATTCAATATAATAGATCAATATATTTGGAAGGAATCAATAATCATGTACACTGATACATTGACATGTAAACTGAACACGAGCCAGAAAGTGGAGGCTGTAAAGACAAGATGTTGAAAACAAGGAAAAGTTATCGACACAATCACCTTGTTCCAATTCTCAGGTATTTAAAGTTTTTAACCTTGACAGTATCATTATGATCATACAGAAACACATGCTGATATTTTATACATACAAAGTGTCTAATCAGGACACGTTTGGGCTCACAGATTACTGAGAATCAGACCCCAAGAACTTTCCAAAGTTGCAGCTATATGATCAAACTTTCTTCATAATATATAAGGATTTCATACTAACCCAGAGAGCACAGATGAGTGCTATAACAACACATCCAAGGTAAATAGCTGTTGCATACACTCGGACAGAATCAAACATCATTCTCATTTGTTGTCCAGGGCCAAAGAGGAAGGCTGTGCTGCCAAACAGGAATACAGGTTAGCATCTGAATGACCTTGATGAATTTTGGTTAAACTCAATCAGAGAAACTTGCATGAGAAAAAAAGAGGTATATTCAACAAGTTTGAGGAATTTCAGTAGATATAATGCCATCACTGTCACACACCAATTTATGTGGCTCAAGTATATGATGTTGAGAACTCATTTTGGACCTACCTTCCAACTGCCAACAAATTGCCAAAGGTGAACAAAACGGCAAATTTGATGGGTTTGGCAAAGACAATCAATGACTGCCAAAGAAGCAAAAGTTATAAGAAAATGCTGCAACGAAATATCAAAAAATTATCTTGACCAAAAGAACTTTACTTTTCTCATAATTATGTTGCAGTTCTCTGTTCTTGACTGAATTCAATCCAGTTATGAAATGCAAACAGAAAGTTTCCTTAGGCATAATACATGAAGTTGAAATTAGCTTAGCTGATGAAGGGAAAGCAGAAAAGAGTTTGAAAAGGTAATCTCTCCAATACCTCAAAGTTTAAAATCACACAATTCCTTCGCCATTAACACACCCCTCTTTCCTTGTCAGGAACATTTATGTAAAAGATGAAGATACAATACATGAATGTGCAACAGTGCAAATATCCCTTTTATCTTTCCTTTTTTTCTTGGTTTGCATGTTAAAGGAAGCTAAATACTTTCCATCAGCAAAAGGCCAATATGGTGAATGGACATATACAACTACACATTGCGTCCACCACTCTCAAACTGAATCAATTTCACGGAAAATCATGCGTTTATGTAAAGAAAGATAGCTGCAAACAGAATACAAATTGAAATCATAACTCAGTAATCCATAAGAAAAGCATTCGAATAAAAGTTATCTAGAGGGGTAAGAATTCTCATACCAGGAACATACAAACCAGACCAGCCAACAAACAAGCTGCAAACCCGTACATTCTCTGGTAAATTAAAAACCCACACACCCAAAAACTATGTGAAGCTAAAAACAAAGAGAACATAGCAAAAACACATATTTCACAACTAAAATTGAAACTTCCTTTGCTATAGAACCTGAGTAGCAGAGAGAGCACAAAAGCCGTCAGATTCTTCATCCAAGAAGCCCTCTCCTCCCTCCTCATTACCCTCTAGCATAGATTGGTTGAGCTTCGCCCACATTTTTGACAAATTAACCGATCTCTGTCTCTTGCTCTTGCTCTCGCTCTCTTCAAGTTTCAACGGCTTTGAGAAATTTACAGCGTACAGGCATACAGGCTACGGCAGAAAATGAGAAAAAATCGCATTCTTATTAAAAAGAAAATATTTTTTGAATGACCAGGTGGCAGGAAAAACTTAACCAATAGTAAAGAAACACGTCGCCTTAGTATTTTTAACTCCACCGTCTTTGTTTTTTTCGTCACTATAAAAAAGCATAACACGTTATTCTAGACGGCGTCTTTCACTTCAGAAAGGAAAAAAATTGGTATTTTGGGGTTTTTGCTTCGTCCATACAAAGACAGAGCAAGAGCGCAAAGAGAGAAGCCGTAGCTCCTCCCAAGTGGAAGTTGGCCGGAGATGTCGTCGACGCTACTGGAGGTGACACGTGCCGGTCACGAGGAGGTGGAGCGGCTCGAGCGGCTGATAGTGAAGGACTTCCAGAACGAGCCGCCTTCCAGCAAGGACCGCTTGTATCAGGGCCACCGTGTCCGCCACATGATCGATACCATCTCCTCCACCACCGAAAGACTCGTACGTATTGTTCTCTTACTCCCGCTACTGCAATCTTCTATCTTTGAATGCAAGGAAAGTGAATTCTAGGTCTCTTTGTATTTGTGGAAACCCTAGGGTTTATGCTTATGCTTTCGAGTATGAATTGTTTTTTTTTTGTGTTTAATTTCAGATTGAGATCTATGAAGATAAAGATAACGCGAGGAAGGATGAGATTGCCGCTCTTGGAGGCCAGACTGCCACTGGCATCAACGTTTTCAGTGCATTTTATGATAGATTGAAAGAGGTATTTCTTTCTTTCTTTCTGTTTTTTGGTTTTATTTTTAGAGTTGAAATTCAAAGAAGTTATAGTATTTCGTTTTCTAATTTGAGATTTTTAAATGTTGAAAGTTTATTCATCAAAGCCTCGTAGTTGCTCCGTCATGGTAGAGGCTTTTGTCAAAATCTGTATTTTTGTGTCTGAGTGTGCTCTGACTTCTGATATTCTAAAATATAGTTTGAGAAACCCAAAACGACAAGTTTGAGAAATTATGTAGTTTATCATTTAGTTGGTGATACTGCATGTATTGTAAGATTCTTGATGGAATGTTTGCCCAATGTGCAGATCCGTGAGTATCATCGAAAGCATCCAGCTGCACGTGTTGTTGATGCTAATGAGGAAGAAGAGGCACTGCTTAAGGAGGAACCTCAAATTGAGTTCAGCGGAGAGGTCTCTCTCTCTCTCTCTGTGTTTGTATGCATGCTTGTGTAAAGAATGCTTGAGGTTACACAGACAAGTAAACTTACATTGCTTCAATTATTTTCCCTTCATTGTTATTTTGTTTTCTAACACTAATTGCATGCATAGTTAGTCAAATAATTCAGAGATAGTTATATCTGGGTATTATCTTGATGTTTTGAGGTTATTGCATTTGTCACTTTGTAAACACTACTTAGTTTGTCACATACATTCTTCCTGTCCTATGATTAAATTTTTTAAGTTTTGTCTTGTTTGTAGGAAGCTTTTGGACGGTACCTTGACTTGCATGAATTGTACAACCAGTATATCAATTCTAAATTTGGGGAACCTATCGAATATTCTGCTTACCTTGATGTTTTTTCACAACCACAAAAGATTCCTCGCAAACTCAAACTGAAGTTGTCAAGGTGAAGTGTTGTGTTATTTTCTTTTGCTGCTGCTTTAATTTATTACATGAATTTGGGAATGAGTTTGTTTTGTTTCTTCAGGCAGTACAGCGAATACATGGAAAATCTACTTGCTTATCTGATGTATTTTTTCCAGCGGACAGAGCCCTTGCAAGATCTTGATAGAATATTTTCAAAGGTTCATTTCAATCCTATCTTCTTTACTTGGATTATTTTCATGTAAGAACTTTATTTTTAGTCCTGTTTCATATACAAAGTGAATCAGAAATATATATTTGTGGTATTTTTTATAGTTTCCAGTTATGACTTTTCTGGGGTTAGAATGCTATAATTCACTAGTGCTATACCTTAAATTTGAAGGAGATAATTATAAGTTGTGCAATTGAATGTTCTTTGCTACCATTTAAATGATTGAAAGGCTTGAATCATAATTGGGTATAGTAGTAAGTTATGATATGTATGGCCTTTAACAATGTATATGCATATATATATATATATATATATTTCAGGAAGATATATAATTTGAGAACCAATTTCTCATGGTTACGTTTGTATTTGTGAACTTCATGCTCTCTGTCTCGAAAGGGCTATTGCAAATACATTTAGGCATGATTCATTCTCTGGATTCTATCAGGATGAGCCTGAGTATTCTTAGATTTGGAATTTTGAAGTTTGGTGATTTTTTGGCAGGTTGAAACTGAATTTGAAGAGCAATGGGCAGATGGCAAGGTAAAAGAATGGGAAAATGAGAAGCAAGAAAATGGGCATCTTCAAGATCAGCTTACTTTGATCGATCTTGATTTTTATACCACAGTGGAAGAACTGATGGAAGTGGGTCCTGAAAAGCTAAAGGAGGTAAGGGTGATATTTACAACTTAAAGAGAAGTTATTGGCCAAAAATTAGACCTTAAGTTCACACAACTTGAGGTAAAAAGTTATTTTCAAAAATATTGTATAATTGTTCAAAGCCCAAAATTAACTTGTTATTGAATAGGAAGTGGTTTGGTATTAGAGTGGGGGATAGAAATAGAAGGGAATGCGAAAAGTGGAGAGGAAGTTAACTTGTTTGGGAATGGGGATTGCCTTGATTTTTGGTTTTAGAAATCTCAAAATTGAATAGTTATTGTGCGGTCTTTTGTCTGTATTTCTAAAATGAATTGAAAATCCGTGTCATCAATTAATGTTGTTAGATGCATATGGAATTGAAGAATTTGAGAGAGTTTAATGCCACCCAAAAAATAAAGAGTTTGCTTTGTATAGCAGTATAAGCTGAGTTCAATCTTGAGTTTAATACAAGTCTTAAGTTCGCACCCTCTCTCTTTCCCTCTCTCATGTAAAATGAAAAGGAAATTTTTGTTAGCTCATTTCTTTAATTTACCTTCCAGGCACTAGCTTCATTAGGACTGAAGACAGGTGGCACTGTTCAGCAGCGTGCAGAGAGGCTTTTCCTTACAAAGGTGATTGTTCTGCAACTTTTGTTTTTATTTATTTTAAAAAGTAGCCTATTTGAAATGTACTTGCTTTTTATTTTTATTATTATTTTTTATGGGCATAAATAAAACTACTAAATTGGCCAGAAATCAGGATGCCTTGGAAAACTCTTGATACCATACAGTATATAAGTGTTTCCATTTCAAATCATTGCATCGCAGCCTATGTATATGGTGTATTATTAACAAATTTGAATCCTTATTGAAATCTGTCTGATAATGGGATATCCTTTTCACTTTAAAAAATTAAAATTTTCATGCGACATATTACTTAATCTCTTTGTTTATTTACACAGGACACACCTCTGGAAAAGTTGGACAGGAAACATTTTGCCAAGGGTTCGCGAGGTTCAGTACAGAATGGGGCTGCTGCAGCTTCACAAGAAGTTGACAATTCAAAAGAAATTGCTTTATTGGAAGCCAAAGTGAAAAAACTATGCGATTTACTGAATGAGGTTGGCATATGCTGCCTAATTTTCTAGTCTCCTATGTTGTTTATGTCTGTCGTCTGTATTTAATTACTGCTTTTCATTGAAATTGTTGAAGTTTGAATACCAGTGAACATTTACAAAAAAGTTATCTGTGGAATTTTGCAGGCTATTGAACGAACGAAAGACAACATTGTGAAGAAACAGGCTTTGACATATGAAGAAATTGAAGCAGAACGTGAAGAGGTAATAAATTGAGCCCTCAATAAACATGCTGAAATCATATACTTATATCTGACAAGTGTTCAAGTTTGTAGTGGTTTTTAACAAATGCTTGATTGGGTTTGACTCCAAGCAGGAAGAGACACAGGCTGATACTGAAAGTGATGATGATGAGCAGCAGATTTACAATCCACTCAAATTGCCGATGGGTTGGGATGGGAAACCCATTCCATACTGGCTGTATAAGCTTCATGGTCTTGGTCAGGAATACAAGTGTGAGATATGTGGGAATTACAGTTACTGGGGGCGTAGAGCTTTTGAGAGACATTTCAAGGAATGGCGCCACCAACATGGGATGCGTTGCCTCGGCATACCAAACACCAAGAACTTCAATGAGATCACATCAATTGAGGAAGCAAAAGAACTGTGGAAGAGGATACAAGCACGGCAAGGTGTGAATAAGTGGCGCCCAGATCTTGAAGAAGAGTATGAAGACAGAGAGGGTAACATCTACAATAAGAAGACATATACTGATCTGCAGCGACAGGGGCTGATTTAAGAACGCAATGCTGCTGAGTGGTGCTGTGACAACCGAAGCAATTGTCTCCGGTCGCAACAGAGTTGAGGTGGGATGAGAGAGATTGTAGGTTTTTGGTATAAAGGCTATGCAATTTGGCCTAGGAATTTATTTTTATTTTTAAAAATTATTTATAAGAAGTAGTCTTATACTGCGTTATTTAGGAGTTGGAATTGCTTCATTTTTTACAGGATATTATGAAATCTTATTTTAAAGAAAGAATCACTAGCAATTAGACGAGTGCCTGATAATACATGTGTTATTTACAGCTTTCATCAAAACAAGACCTTGTGAATAAGAGTGCTGAACCATTTACCCCTCGAATTACCAGCAGCCTGGAGTCCACGTATGTTCCACACACAAGCTTTGACAAATCGAACATTTCAGGTGGGACTTGTGTCCGGACTTCTTGAACTACATTTGTTGCACTGTTGATACTTTTACTCAATGGATCACCCAGATTCATCGTTACTTCATCAATGCCACTTGAAACAAGCTTTGCCACCGGAAGGCTCGACGGAGACTCCTTAAACGGCAGTGCTTTCCTCCACTTTCTACCTGACAATTTAGCAAAAGCATCACGAGTGTTTGATGGATTGGAGAGCTTTTCTGTGTTCTTTTCTTCTTCCTTAAGATATAACCGTCTCCCAGCCATTAATCTAAATAAAGAGTTTACTTGGAGTTTCCCATCTACACCAGCCTTGTCATGGGGCCAGTCCTGACCAATCATGACCGTGAAGCCGGTGTCGGAGGCAAACAAAAGGCTGGTGTTCAACTTGGAAACTCTTGACACAGTTAGGTGCACGTGACCGATGAGGACTTGTTCAGGAGGTTGCCGAAAGGTTAAACCAATGTGCCTCCCAGTACAGTACAACAGACGCCACTTTCCAGGCAGCAATTCCAGCCAATTCTGCATGTTCAAAATATACAAGGAAAAGAATAGAGTGAGCTTCAACAAGCTATTACAAATCATTGCAAGCATACAAACATTACTTAGAATGTCGTCGAGCACTGGCTAAATCCACATTAAAGACCAAACAAAAAAGCATTGCACATGCTAAGATATATTTTTAAACAACAATATTAGAAGTTGGTCATTTTATAAATGGGTATCTAATATGTTAAATGGAATCATATACTAGTTTAAATGAATGCAAGAGAAACATGAAGGATACACAATTCATTACCTTTGGCCTTGAATTCGGATTCAGCATCTCCATTAACTCGATGAAGTGGGATAGCCTACTTCGCTAAAACATAAAATTATAGAAGAAGTCAATGCATCTCCCAATCACCAAGTTTGTGTATTCATAGACTTCCACATACAAATGCAGGACCCTTGACGATACCTGAGGCTGGCCGTAAATGTATTCTTCTGAGATTCGCAATGCAGTTGAGCCAAGACCCCATCTGATGATATCAATGGATGGGACTACCCGCCATCGAGGTCCACATAGAAATGGATGAGTAAGAGCATCTAAGCAACTGCAAAGCATTTAAAAAGGATCGTTTTATACAGAATCAGTTCTCACCATAAAAAATAAAAAATCCACATTCTAACATCACTTAAAGAGTAGATCCCTGACTCACACATGAACAATAACATACCTTACTCTTTTAGAAGGTTCTGTTGCTAGCAATAAGGATAAAAGGTTCCACCCTGCACCCCAATTCCTATCAAGTATCTGCAAGAAAGATAGTAAACCAAACAAGCTTCATTAAGATGGGAAGGGTCATGAAATCACAGTAAGTTGTACTGAAGGCGCATTACTTACTTGGAGTCCAGCGTTTCCAGATGAGGAGTTTCTGTGGAGTATTTGCAACAAAAATTCACGCAAGCATGAAGGATCATTTCCCTGAACTTGCACATTATCAATATTGTTGTTAGAATAAACAAATTCTGAAGTTCAAGCCACACTCGTGGAAGCTAAAACTCCTTTCAATCACCTATTGACCATGGAAACAGAGTCCAACAATTAGACATGTATTTACATAATACTTTACATTTAGGAAAACTTATAATAGGGCTTTGGTATTATATGATCAAAAGGCTGAAAACTATTTTGCAGAACTTCACATTTTACCTTTGTTAGAAATGATTTGAACTTTGTGAATATTAAGGGATCCATGAGTTCCCGCAGCACCATTTTTGCCATCATGAATCCAAGACATCTGGGAAACATGTACGAAACAAAATAAACATTCAGAATTTGCAGAGTTATCTACATAAAACTTTAAAAAGAATATTTTTTCATCTCCAAACCATACCTCATGTCAAATGCAATCATCATTTGTCGCCTATCCATGTTATTGTCTGCAGTACCACAATTCGGACTATCGTCATAAAAGTCAGCAGCATTTCCTAATATTCCTACCTGATAAGGTAAAAAAGATCATTAGACATAACTCATGTCATTATCTGCAAAACATGGATATCCCGGTTGGCATAAATCCAAGTCCTGAAAGTTATATGGTGCCAGGGAATCTGTATGTATCAGATAGGTGCTCTAAAAGTAAGGAATAATTGATATCTGAAATCTGACCCTGGACAGGAATATCTGGTACTCACTTTAATATGTCTATCAACTGGGCTTATGTGCACATTCTCCAGCCTCAACTCTGTGTGGGCAAGTCCATGGCTGTGCAAGTAATTGACCTGAGTAGAATAAGCATTAGAAACATCATAATCCATCATTTTCTTGATGGAAAATACTACGCACTTAATACTAAAAGAATCATACGTACTCCAATTAAGAGATCTCTCATTAGTATCCTAATCATTCGCAGTTGCCGAGAAACTGCAGATCCTCCAACTGTGTCATCTCCCACCCTTCTAACAGATTCCTTGTCCAATGCAAGAGTAGCCTCCAAGGTTGGAAGCCAATCTGATTGTTGTAGCCAATGTCTTAAAGAAAAACTACCGTGATACTGCAAATAGAAAGAAAAAAATTTATCAGTTCTCTGGCATTAGGGAAGATCAGATGATAAATGCAGGAACAGTGGGAAGATAATCAGTCCCCACATGTGACTCTCCGCCAAAGAAAGTAATTTTGCAGGAAAAAACTATCTATCCATTATAGAAGTAGATCAGATGATCAAATTCTTCAGAGAGTACCATGTATGCCAAGTAGAAACTAAAATTAGTGGCAATAAAGGAATTCACGTTACACAGAAAGGGACCTACCCCGTGGACCAGAGTGAATGAGGAACGACCACTACTTATAGCTGAAGAGATGTAACCATGAACTTGCATTGAATACGAATGGTACATAAGTCTACGCCGAGCTAACTTTTTTAAGACCTAAAAAAATCAACAGTAAAGAATTAGAATGAGACGAAACGGTACATAACAAAGTAGACAAATTTTAACACAGTCCACGGACCTCTATTGCTCGTTTACCCCTACGCTGAGCTCGAACACTAGTAAGACGTCGAAGTACAACTTGTGTATTATACAAAGGACTGCAATTTCATCACACCAGACCAATAATCAAGCTTGACCTCGCAGCAACATGTGAGTATCTCAACACACAAGTAAACTTACCTATTAGTGTCCTTCACTATAGCTTCAAAAACTACTTCGCCTGCCTACAAAAAAGCTCAGATCAATTAGACCGCCACGAATTCAAGACAACACAAGAACAACAACATTAGGAAATGCAAAAGATAATCTAATCTCTTCATACCCGACCGCCAAGGCCAACACTAACACAGTCGAGAACCTTGAAATCAGACATCTTGAACTTGATGACATGACCTGATTCTTCCTCCACAGGGACAGATATGTCAGTCTGAGCATTGCCGTCCAATTTCAGTGATGAACAACGCACTCCCAAACATGGTCTTCTCTTCCAATCAGATGACTTCCCAATGGCACGCATAAGGCTCGGTCTGATGCGTCTTGTCGACAAATTTCCACCAACACAGGCTACTTCCAAACTTTCAAAACTTGGGCTCAAACCAACCCCACAGAGTGCCATCGATCGGAGGGAGCTTAAAACACCACCTGACAATAGAAGATAGCATTAAATTTCCGAAATTTCTCACTTAAACTTTATTAGCTAAGCATGGAAAGGATGTAAGACTAAATTAATCAAATTCTAAATGTTCCAACACAATTTCTCAAGCAACCAAGGCAAAAACAGAGAAAACCAAAGATAAAAAATGTTGGTTTGACCAGATTAAGTAAAAGTATTGAATTGGAAACGGAAATTCAAAATTTTTCCACCATTCTCGACAGCTGAACATTCTGGCTAGAAACTCAGGGGAATAAATGAAAAAAGGAACAAAATTTGCAGAACTTACCGGCAAATAGTGAAAAGGAGGTTGGCCGTTAACGGTTACAGAGAGAAGGAGAAGAAGAGAGTAAGAGTATGTATATAGACGTGAATATATATAGGGTTAAGGAGGAACGCAGGCGTGCGTGGAAGAGGAGAGTTGCGTGTGCAAGAGACTGGCGGAAGCGTTTTTCCATGGGTTTGTCGCACGTCTACGTCCGCCCCTCCAAATATCTCCGTCATCATTAGTTCCTCCTCTGTCTTAGATCACGGCCGTCCGTTAATGTGTTCCAATCACGAAGCGACGGTTCTGATTTGATTGAATTTAATCGGTGTTGGATCCTTTCTATTTTTATGAACGAACACGAAGCTGGACGTTCGTTTGCTTATAATTATTCCAGTCATTAATTTGTGCTAAAAGGCGATTACTTTGGGTTAAAATGATGGGATGTTGTTTTAAGGGTTTTGTGGTTGGGTTCTAAGTTGATTTGTGTCGTATAAGTTGTTTGACTTTTTTGTTTAGTTAATGGCATGTGTGGTGCTATTTTTTATCATGGTATTTTGTTTCTTTGGGAAGATTTTAACGAGACCGTCGTTAACATACTAGTTTTTATCATGTAATGTTTCTTTCGGTTTAATGAAATACAATCTTTTCTGAAAAACATGCCATAAATGAAGTTGAGTTAGAGAACACAATACTTTAAGTTCATGAGGAAAAAGAATAAATAATTAATGAATTTATCAAACAGTATCTCGTCCAGTAAAAATAATATTGACTTCTAGATTTGAATTCTCATAGCTTCTTGACAATATGTGTGTGTAACAACGCATCCCTCAATATCGTTTGAATCCAGAAAAAATAATGAATTTTACAGTCCCATTCTCTTGGACCCCTATGGTCCAAATAACTTGTGGTCACTCACTCTTAGATCTAATCTAAGGGTTCATAAAAAACTAGTTAAAAATAAAGATATTAATTTAACTTAATCAAAAACCAAAATTTTAAAAATAAATAATAAAAGTTCACTGTAACAAAAACACGTTCATAGGAGAAAATCATGAACGTGTTCTTCCTCCCATCGCCGCCACAGCACATCCGATTCTGACGTCGTAGATGACCCTCTGCAAACATGATGTTACCCATAGTCAGTTGAATGCAAAGGCATAATCTGAAATTTTTTTTTTGCAGACCTGAACAGTATTTCTAATTTCGCTCTTTCACTTTTTCGATTTCTACAATTGGGTTTCCCCCTCTTTTACTGGTTAACATGATTTCCATGAATCTCATACCATCAAGAAGCGGTTAACATGTGAACAGGAAGATGTCTTGGGTGGGCATCCTGCAATTCATCATTTTTTTTTTTTTTTTTTTTTTTTTTTTTTTTTTTTCATTTGCTTTCTTTTTTTTTTTCTTTTTTTTTTTTTTCTTTGTTTCCCTTTTTTTATTATCGATACATGCGTTATATTTGCAAGGGGATGGGTGGATTTGGATTTTCATATGGGACGCCAGAGTCGAGGTTACTATCTGTGGCAGCAATGGCGTCGGAGTTGCTGTGGCGGCGATGGAAGAAAGAACCCGTTCCTGATTTTTTCTGCCCTGAACGTGTTGTTTGAGTGAAGTGTTATTATTTCTTTTTGAACTTTTAGTTTTTGGTTAAGTTAAATTAATATCTTATGCAGCAAGAGTAAAATAAAATTTATTTTTGTGAACCCTTAGATCTAATCTGAGGGTGGGTGGGTAACCACAAGTCCTTGGACCACAGAGGTCCAAGAAAACGAGACTAACGAATTTATAGTGCCGTTGGTACAAAAAGAAAAGAAAAGGATTTAAAGTATCTTTTTAAAATGACCAACCGGTAATATAATCCTTGAAATTGCCTAAATTCTAAAGTTGGGATCAAATCAATGTGACCCAACAACAAAATAATGGGTCTACTTTTCATGGGTCCACTATATATATATATATTAATTTATAATATATGGTACAGTATACTTGCTCCTGATATTGCCCAAACAGTAAATGGGTTTGTCTCCTAATCACTAGTGGCCATTGCACCCCACTCACTATGGACAGATCAATTCCGAGGCCTTTTGGGTCAAACAAAGTCTTCAACTCTTGATGGAACATAATTCACGTAAACGTTTACATTAGGGTTCCTTCCATTCCGTGTGTGAGTTTTTTTAATTGGACAATATTGGAGGTGATCTCATTCTCATGCACTACAACACATTGATCCATCGCCCTTATGCCAATGCGAATACCCCGTTGGGTTGGGGATCTTAAGGAGGATTACATGTCGAAGCACGAAGGAAATGCATTAATAGTTCTTTAATTAGAATTAATTGAGTAGCTACTAATTTAATAAGAGAAGATATTCGAGTTGCTCAAGAAACATAAAAGATTACATAACTCGAATAACTTCCCGTTTAACCTAATACGGAACACCTAATTTACTTATTATACTGTGAATTGTTACATAAAATCATAGGCATGACTGTCTATATCAATTATGAATTCGCTGCACTGAAAGCACACTTGCTGGCTACTAAAGTGAATTCGCTTAATGCTACATTCAGAAGGACTCGTTTTCATGGGTTGACAACTTTTCAAGATATTGACACAACTTGAAACTCATAATTGTTTGAGTTAAGAAAGCAGTCAAAATAGTTGCAATTCCATGACCAAGGACGGACTGTAATGTTTCAGTTTTTTTCTTCTAGTACTATTCTGTTCCACCGCCGTACATCTTTGTCTTCATATGGCTTCAAAAATTCCACAAACAAATCCCTACTCTCCCTGCAAGCACAAAATTTCCATTACCAAGTTAGATATATTTTCATTTATATTTCCTTCATTCTTTCTTTCCCTATTAAGTTGAACCCCCCTTTTTTTAATATTTCTTTTTTCCTTCCCTCTGAGCATATTGGTTTTTTTTTTCTTTACCTAATTCTTCCTTTTGCCCACACTCATATTTAAGATTTGTACTTGCTATTCTTATTTTCAATCATAATTTTTTTATTTTATAAATTTTATCCTTTTAGTACATACCTTTGCATCAATAAATTTTTTGTAAACTCATGCGATTTATGAATTATAGTTTGATCTTAATTTAATAAAATTAGAAAAGCAAAATGACACATTCTACTTGTGATCCTAAAGGGGAGTTACTTTGAAGATAAAAAACTCAATTAATCATCTTTTTTTGTATACAAGTGATAATTTATTTTTCGAACTCAGGTGAGTAGGAAGCACATTCCTTCTAACCAATTTGACTAAGCTCATATCTGCACTTAACTAATCATTTTTTATTATATTATTATTTTTAGTTGTTATCAATGCATTTTCTACTTGGAAAGGAAAAGATAAGTACTTATTCATCTATTTATTATTTTTAAGTTGGATTAGAAAAAATTAGAATCAGCCGAATCCTAAAGGGAATCGAAATAAACTAGAAATCCTAAGGGCAATCGTGGCAGATAAAACACAATCTGTCCACCAAGTCGTCTCCGAGTCTCATTAACTCTCCGAATCCGATAAACAAAAAAACAGAAAGCCTTCGCGTCTTTGCTCGCTTTCAGTCTCTCTCTCTCTCTCTCTCTCTCTCTTCTCTCTCTCTCTAACATCACATGTTTTTCCACATTTATCCCCAACCGACGCCAAGGGTCTCTCTTTCTCTAAGACGTAATCTTCACCATCTTCGATCCCAATCTCACACCCATTCACCGTCTACTCCCCGGCGATCCGTAATCTCCGGTTTCGGCCGCCGGCTGCTCTACCCTTTCAGTTAGATTTTTCTGCGGCTGGTTCAACCCTCGAAAATTGTATACTTTATTTACAATTAGGGTTTTCAATTTTGGTCATTGGAGTATTCCGTTTCCTTACAATTAGGGTTTCAGTCTCCAATCTGAGCACCGAGTCTATCTCAGCAATTTGAATCTGGGTTTCCTTATTCAGTTTCAGAGTTCACTTTTTTGTTAGGAGAGATATCAGGGTTTTATTTTAAAATTTTGAATTTTTGAGATTTTGGTACCTTTCGAGGATTCAAGGTTAGGGTTTTGAGTGTTTCGCAGTGATGCCGAGGAGTTCAAGGCACAAATCAAGTAAGCATAGCTCGAGGGATGCTAGGGAGTATTCGGATTCGGAGAAAGATTCGAGCTTAAAGGATCGGAAGAGCAAGGAAGAGAGTGGTGTTGTTAGGGTTTCAAAGGATTCAGGCTCCACTGAGAAGCGGAAGCTTGATTTGAAGGATGGGAAAGACTCGTATGGTGGCTCCGGTAATGGGGACTATTCTGAGGATTTAGTATCGTCTAAGCGGCGCAAGGAGAGGGTTGATTACGGAGGGAGTGATAGATGGAATGGCGGCGAGGATGATCACAGAGGAAGTGGTGAGGGGTCGAAGAAGTCATCGAAGGCATCGGGGGAGTCCAAGAGTAAGAAAAGAGATGAGAGTGTGGAATTGTATGCAGAGGGCGCTGAGGTGAAGAAGAGTACTAGTAGTAGTGGAAAGGGTGAAGGGAAGCATAGGGATAGAGATAGGGATAGGGATAGGGATAAGGACTCGATTCGAAAGGAGGGTAAGGAAGGTGGTGGAGCAGAGAAGGAGAGGGAGAGGGAGAAGGAAAAGAAAGGTAAAGATGGGAGAACTGAGAGATTGGTCAGTGGCGATGAACAACGAGTTCCCACAAAGCAGGTCAATGAAAAA